AAAACAAACTTTAAAACCTAACTGTAAACGTACAATTCCCCTTTAAGATGGAAATACAGATAGCAAAGAATTTAAAAAAAGCATATTAAAAGATTTCCAAAATTGTTATGACCACAATAATCAACAGCTATCTCTGCCAAGGTAGGTATGGTCATAAGTGCAAAATTTTCAACAACATGATGAAATACCTAGATACACATCCAATTGTGCAAGTAGGTGGGCATTTCTATGACAAACACCTTGAGCCACACAACTCAAATTGTTTTTTTTCTGCTTTGTTTGTGCTATTCTGATATTTTAATTGCCTAGTTGATACACTTTAGCTCATATCCCTTATACTACAAGTAGTACATAACTAACAATGATGTATATTATATGAATATTAACTATGTACACTTATTATGCATTCTATTTCCATTAGCATGTCTCGTCATATGTTAAATGACTCAAAATGAGTAATGTCCAATGTATACATGTTGAAAGAAATGCGAGGAAATTTTTTTTAATTTCATAGTTTCAAACACTGTATAGTAAAATAGATCTCCTAATTAAAGGTCTTTGATTTTTCTATAGAAAAAAATAGAATGATTGAACTTTACTAATTTTTGTTTTATTTTTAATCCATTTTCATTCACTACATACATGGCCAAAGATTTCTAGCTATGTTTTAAATAAAAGCACATTAACAGAGAACAACTGAGCATCTACTATATGTAAATGACTATGGTAAAAAGGACAGGAGAAATTCTACACTTTCTATACATTAGGTTATTTCTTCAATCTTTGCAAATTTAACCATTAATAATTCTATGTTAAACTAAATAAAATTTATAAATGTCACACATGACAATTACTAGAAATATATGACTAAATATTCTCAAAACAAAAATATTTCTCTGGGCTTTTATAAAAATCACCTTGGCCATTATATTAAGCCTTACTGTAAACTGCTATAAATCTTTGCCTTAATAAGACTCTAGAAACAAAAATTGAAATGTTTTGCCCTAACAAACTTTTTTTAAACCCTCAGATGATTTTTAGTTAGTAATGTAAGTAATAGAATTTAATGGTATCATTATTTTAGTTTTCAGGCTTTTGAAAATCACTTCTATTTAAATCATCATTTTAAAATGGTTAGCATTAATGAGCTTTTTATCAATATCAATTATCAATAATGAACTTCTTATATTTTGAGAAGACCTTTAATTATGTTGCTTAATAAAAATATAAATTTCATAAAACCGATTCAACCAGAAATTCTTCTTTCTGAGCTAATGTGCATAAACAGATAGTTGTGACTTTTTTCAAACCCTATAATGTGTCATCCAAAGTGAAACAGGTTTTCAAAAGACATTTTATTAGGTAACATTAAACAAACCCAAGTCACTCTAAGGAATATTTCATTTATCAGAATTGTACTTCAGGTAGGCAAAGTAAGATCATTTACCTCATGAAAAATTTGGCTAACTCAGTTGATTCAAGAGGTATTCCAGTTTTGGCTTCAACCAAGCTACCTATATCCTGAAGTAGACTCAGGAGATTTATAGTTTTTAATATATCATCTTTTTCCTTACAATAAACTAATGAAGTACATAGCACCCATTACTTTATAAAAAATGAAATTAAAGTTTAAAAATGCTTGGTTTTGTTCCCAAGCAAATAAATTGAGCTAAGTCTAAATTTATATCTTTAAGTCACCCTTTGCTCTTCATCATGATTGCCTACCAAACATAACTTAGATTGCTACATTATAATTCTTTAAATTATTACCTGGTTTTATTTTTCATTGTGAATATCTTTAAAAATGCAAAAAACAGAAAATATTACAATTAATGAATGAACCTTTCACCCCAAACACTTAGTGCTCCGCTTTGAAAATTTTCAAGAACTTTCCAATTTTGTTTCATCCATTCCCTCTTCCATACTTGTTGGTAAAGTAAATCTCATATATCATATTGTTTCAACCACAAGCCTCTCTCTAAAGTTTTCTTTAAAAAAACAAAACAAAAACATTCAATACCCAACAAAATAAATAATTCTGTAATAATTTAGTCATTTCTCAAATTTCTCTTATTGACTCAGAAATATATTTTTATAGTGTTTTAATTTTTTCAGTAAGTGTGCCAACAAAGATGTCACACTGCATTTGCCTCTTTTAATCTATAATACCCCTCCCCTCTTTATTATGCCAATTACTTGTTTAAGGAACCAGACTGTTACCCTGTAAAATTCCTCACATTCTTATTTGGTTGCTGGATTCCCTCTCTCCTCATCGCAGTATTTCCTGTAAAATCACAATGTAATCAAGAGAATTGAATAAATTTAAGTACTTGTAAGTAGGAGTGGTGGTGCTGTATACTTCTCTGGGCATTGCATTAAGAGGGGAAAATGTCTAGTTGTTACAATTTTAGTGATGTCAGTGATTAGCGGATTTACGTATTGCCAGTCTAAACCAAAATTGCAAAATTCTCCATCAACAACACACCCTTACAGCCATGCCATGGCACATACAGACATCTTCATTATCCTTTTAATGACTGCTTAGTATACCATTGTATATTCAACAAATGTCCTGTTGAAGAACATCTGAGGTGTTTCCAATATTTTGTTATTACAAATATTTTGCAATGAATAGTTATTTGCATACATTTTTTTGTATAGCTCCAGTATTTAGGATTAAATTTCTAGACATTGGATATTTGAATCTAAAGGTAAATGCATGTATAGCTTTGCTAAATATTGACAATTCCCTCCAAAAGGGTGTACATTCTTACTATATGTAATTCTTCTAAGATAAATACACATGAATGACAAAATTGTATAATGTATCTGTATAAAGCTGAGAAAAAAATCTGCATTTTTAAAAGACTATCTGTCAAATGAACTGCAGCAAGAATGTTTTAAAAAATGATTGTCCTAGGGGCGCCTGGGTGGCTCAGTCATTAAGCGTCTGCCTTCAGCTCAGGTCATAATCCCAGAGTCCTGGGATCAAGTCCCACATCGGGCTCCCTGCTCGGCGGGAAGCCTGCTTCTCCCTCTCCCACTCCCCCTGCTTGTGTTCCTGCTCTCGCTGTCTCTCTCTGTCAAATAAATAAAATCTTTAAAAAAAAAAAAAATGATTGTCCTAAATTTGTATTCAACCAGAAAAAACTTTCAAGTAGCTTCTTTGGATATTAGCCTACAATATAGAGTAATAAAATATAAACACTGTAAAATATAAACACAGCCTTCTTTTGACAATTTTTAATGTGATATTACCTATAACATAAAAATACTGCATGAACAAAAATCATTATAAAATATTGGAACTGGACATAACCTTAGAGATTATTTCTAATTCTTTTTTTTTTAGATTTTATTTATTTGCGAGACAGAGAATGAGAGACAGAGAGCATGAGAGGGAGGAGGGTCAGAGGGAGAAGCAGACTCCCTGCTGAGCAGGGAGCCCGATGTGGGACTCGATCCCGGGACTCCAGGATCATGACCTGAGGCAAAGGCAGTTGCTTAACCAACTGAGCCACCCAGGCGCCCCTATTTCTAATTCTTAAAAGTTAAAAATATGGATGCTAAAATCCAACAGGTTGATTTTTCTCAAATATATGCAGTAAGATCAAGATTTTTTTTTTTTTTAAGATTTTCTTTATTTATTTGACGGAGAGAGAGACAGTGAGAGAGGGAACACAAGCAGGGGGAGTGGGAGACAGAGAAGCAGGCTTCCCGCTGAGCAGGGAGCCCAATGCAGGGCTCGATCCCAGGATCCTGGGATCATGACCTGAGCCGGAGGCAGATGCTTAACAACTGAGCCACCCACGGGCCCCAAGACCAGTATTTTAAAGCTCCAGTTTAGTATTTTTTGAGAGAGAGAAGGAAATGGAGAGAAAGAGAGTGATGGGGGGAGAGGCAGAGGGAGAAGGAGAGAGAATCTTAAGCAGGCTCCACACCCAGCATGGAGCCCGATGCGAGGCTCAACCCCACAACCCTGAGATCATGACCAGAGCCAAAATCAAGAGTTGGACACTTAACCAACTGAGACACCCAGGCACCCTCATATTATTTCTACTTTAATTTGAAAATGACTGTTAAAGATGTACATATAAGAAAAAAAAAGTAAGCAACAGCTTGTCTTTGTACCCAAATATCTAAATATGAATAAATACTTAATCCCTATAACCTATTTTAACAGGAGTAATTTTGGTATTTGAAGATATGACAATTTGTGCTTTAATATAAATTTAAACTATTACAAATATAATGGGCTCCCTTCTTCATTCATTCAACAAGAATTTACTTATCTCATACTATAACTATGTGTTTATGTGTTCACGAGTATGTGTTTGTGGTTGTTATTGGCAATTATTAATTCTGAGGTCAGCCTTTTTGCATCAACATTAACCTATGCGGCTATTACTGAAGCAGTTAAAATTTTTAAGAGTACACCTTGATATACAAAACCTCCACTTGGTTATATAAAATAAATGAAAAATGGCATTGTAATGGTTTTTTTCTTCCCTCAAAAAGAGAAATATTAACTTTTCCATTATGTGTTAAATTGCAATTTCCTTCTTTGAAATGCCTTTATAGGTTTTTTTTCCCTATTTTATAATTGTCTTCCAACTGGATTTATATTTCCATATTAGATTTTTTTTTAAATATTTTATTTATTTACTTGACAGAGAGAGACACAGTGAGAGAGGGAACACAAGCAGGGGGAGTGGGAGAGGGAGAAGCGGGCTTCCCGCAGAGCAGGGAGCTCGATGCGGGGCTCGATCCCAGGACTCTGGGATCATGACCCGAGCCGAAGGCAGACGCTCAACAACTGAGCCACCCAGGTGCCCCCCATATTAGATTTTAAGATCACCAGAATCATGTGTCAATGGTACCTGGCTAGAAACTGGAGATGGAAAAGACTGAATGCATCCTAAACAATATGAAGTTTATCAATGAAAGCTAAATGATTAGGATCAGAGTTGTATGATATCGTGTATTTATTTAACACTTACCCGAAGGATGAAGATTCTGTTCCTCCAAAAACTCTAGATCAAGCATTAGATCATCTTCATCCAGTTCACAAGATCCCAAATTATTCAAAACATCCTGAAGAAGAAGCAAAATCAATAGTTAGAGACCAAACCACTGAGAAATTGAAGAAATATCTACATTCAGATGCCATGAAGCAAAAAAGAACTCAAAATTAGAAATGAAAAGTTTTAGCTGAATCCCAGAAATTATTTGACCAGCCCATGGGCTTTAACATTATCTGTCTAATAAAATATTCCAAGAATTATTATAAAAATCTTAACTTCCACTAAAACTGCTAAAGAGGATATAAAGGTTTTTTCAAGTTTATAGAAGTCTGTGAACTGAAACTTTATTTTTTTATATTTATCTTTCAAATCTGACAACTTTCTTCCGACACATTTAATGAATTCTCAAACAAATTTTGTTTTTACAGTGCCAACTGTTAGATATTAAGCGAAGATCCAGTTAACCATTTCCCAATTATTTGCTTAAGATTAGGAAGGATGAACAGAAGAAATAAGCATCAATTAGATTAAAAATTAATTATTGACTTTCATAATGCCATAAATGTCAGAGCTAGATTACATTTTTCCCTTCCCTTCCATTCCCTCCCCTTCCCTTTCCTTTCCCTTCCCTCTCCTCCCCTCCCCTTCCTTCTTTCAGAGAGCAAATAGCAAAATAAACCAGAGGGGTATATTGAGAAGTCTTGAGGGGAAACAGTGATGTGCAGAGGTAGGAATTCTTGAAGGAGGAATAAGGTCCTAATTTGTGTATTTGTGTATATAGATAGGTGGTGACTATATTAAGAAAAAGCAATAATTTAACATTTAGAAAGTAGACTGAAATAACAAAAGTACATTTTTGTACATGATGCTACATGTACATGATGCTGCATGTAGTAAATGACACTATATCTTAGACCACTTATCCTACTGATGTGAATGTTACCATAATTATTTATGTTTAAAGAACTAAATATTCATTTTAAAAAGCCCAGTGATATTGTCAAATGGAAACTGAACACCTTAGTTCTAGGAATTGAAAGCAAGGACACTGTGGGGAAAAAAAAAAGAAAGGAAGGACACTGTGACTTTTAAATAAATTATTCTCACTGTAAAAAAATAGAATTAAACCTTACTAAACTTTAAAATCATGTGGTATCTGTGAATAGAACACAATAGTTTCGAAGGTAAAAAATATCCCCAAGTCTAAGGGATTCTTTCTACTAATGGAAGTTACAAGTAGTCATTATCTCATTGTATTATATTACATTGTATCTGTATTAATTACAAGGTAACTAGTAATTTAAACTATAAAAAAAAATCAACTGTTTACTGGCAGTTTTATGATACACTGTGGCAGGAATAGCCCACTGAGAATAAGTTGCATATTTACATAGCATCAAAAGATGTTATAAAATATAGGCAACAAAAGATAAGCTGCCATCCTCAAAAATGCAAAATAGAATATTAAAGCAAGAAAAGAAGCATAATTCAAGTTGAATGTGGAAAAGAAAGAGTTTAGAAAAGGGAGGTTTGGTAAAGTCACTATTATTAGTGTCTATTAAGCGCTATCCAAATGAGAGAATCTTAATCTGGAAGTCAAGAATACTTTGGTTAAAAAAAAAAAATGTTCTATAGTGAAAATGTACTACTTTATCCAGCTTCAAATTAGTCCAAGTAATTTTAGTCTTATATTTAGAATTTCATTGACCAATATTATATTCTTGTTTTCATCCAAAATTCGTATGTTGAAGTCCTAACCCCCAGTACCTTAGAATGTGACGTGTCTGGAGAGAAGTCCTTTAAGGAAGCAATTATATTAAATAAAGTTGCATGGGTGGGTCCCAATCCAATAATACTAATGTTCTTATAAGAAGAGGATACTAGGACACCGGCAACATGGACAGAGGGATAATGATGTGAGGACACAGCAAGCAGGCAGCCATTTGCAAGCCAAGGAGAGAGGATTCAGGAGAAATCAAATCTGCCTACACTGTGGTCTTGGACTTCCAGCTTCCAGAACTATAAGAAAATAAATTTCTGTTGTGTAAGCCACCTACTCTGTGGTATTTTGTTATGTTAGCCCCAGCAAACTAATACGGTCAACAACATTTAGAAAGCAATGAAGGTTGGAACAAAGGAAGAAAGGAAATAAATGAGTACCTGGAAGATGACTATCACCTTTTTTTGTTATGCCCACTAAGGACACCTTCTTCATTGTAGGATTCTATGGTTTTCCCTCTTCTGTTTAAAACCACCCTGCCCAATCCACCTTGCTATGGTATCAGAAGAAGGTACCAGGTTCTTACATGAGCCAAACCCCCGTCTTTGGTAAATAATCCAAGATGAGCACCTTAACCAAATTTGCTGATCGCAACCCTTCTGCACAAATGAGACAAGTTTCTATTTGGTGATAGATATTACAAGATGCAAAATGACATCATCACAGAGGCCTTGGATTTCATTATATAGTTAAGACCAGTCTGAGTCTACTTGAAAAATAAAATGTCATAGTAGCAGGTCTTCTGGTTCCTGGTTCTAACAATTCCAGAGGTCCAAAGGCATTCATGATCTTTTCAAGGTTGAATTTTGAATTTTTACATTAATACATCCAAAAAAGCTTGAAAAAATAAATTCAAAAAAAGATTTATTTTTTTAACAAGGAAATATTTAAAAACCCTGCCACTGATATTCCTACATTTAATTTAAGAAAGTAACACCAAGAAACTGAACAAAATAAATTTGGAAAACTTACTGCATTGTTTCAATTTTATTCTCATTTTGCAGGTGACCCTTGACATCTGGATTAGGATGGGTCCACTGACCACCAATCTAGATGAATTGTTCTTAAATCTAATTCTAATTGTTTTGTTATCTTGCTAAAAAAGCACTTTCCTGTTAGTGTAGTGGAGTCTTTGAATCTGGTAAAACCTCATAGTAAAAGGAGAGAAGATGCAGCAACAAAGAAAATCAATATGAACTCATAAACCTAAAAATAATATCTTTTCCAGATCTCTCCTTAAAAGAGACCAGTAGCAGTAACAGTACTTTTGCCCTCAGCCAGCACGTATGGGCAATCCAGATACTTGCTGCCCAATATCCACCAATAAAAAAAGAACCAGAGCTCCTTGGGGAAAGGGGGAAAAAAGCAAGAAAACAAACAAACAAACAATGTTTCTGTGTCATCCTTCTGTTGCCAGAAAACAAGTTTCATCTTAAAAAAAAAAAAAAAAAAGTCAGAGGCAGTTTTGAAAAGCTAAGGAAGCCTAAATGGCTTCTCCCTGGCTAATTTCTGATATATGAACACAAAAAAGAAAAATTATGGCTAGATTAAACAGCTTGAGTCTGTTGAAGGCTAAGAGTTCATAATACTCAAATAGAAATGTTGACATGAAGGATATGAAGAGGTGCTCATATTGGGTGTCATTCGTAAGTGATGAATCACTAAATTCTACTACTGAAACTAGTAGTACCATATGTTAACTAACAAATTTAAATAAAAACTTTAAACAAAAAAACAAGGTGCTCATACCAAAAAAAAAAAAAACCACATAGAGGGTAAAATTTCTTTAATTTCTATTGTTTTCCAATAAATAGTTAATATATTTTGGTTTTCTAACTATATGTATGTTTATAATAAGATGACATATATTTCTTTCCATTTGTTTTAAGGAGAGACCTGTAAACATCGAAGTAGCAGCATCAAAAGTAATTCTGTACCAGGAATAGAAAATATTGATCCTCTCTGGTGGGTCACACATAATAACCAAATGGAAAAGGAGTCCAGCAGTTAATTAACACTAATGATCATACCCTGTATCTAACAGGGCACAACTGTGTGTTTCGAACATTTGATAAATTAGTGGAATATCTAGAAGTGGTAACTAAGCAGAAATAGTCTCTCATCTCCTAGAAGATAAAAAGTTAGATAGCTCTACATAATAAAGATGTAATAATGAAAGTGCATGAGTTTTTAATAATGTTCATACACCAGATCTATATATCACAATAACAGGGAAACTGTTTTGTAACACAAGCAATTTGGATTTAAAAAAATAAATCATTTTGTGAGGAAACATCAGTATTGCCAAAATTAAAAGCTAGGCTTGAACTTAAATAAATAAGCAAAAGCATAAGGGCATATAACAAGTAGATTTTAATTGTAAAAACAAAGTCCAACCTGATGGCCAGTATCCTCAATCTGAATTATCTCTGAATGTATAGCAAATTCCAATGACTAGACAAAAATTTTCTAATTAAAAACCCAGAATGTGCATGTTTAAGAGATAACTTTTAATTCTAGCATGGTTATTAAATCTTAGGAAAATCTCAGAGAGCTTTGAAATAATCTCAGATATCTTTGAAATCCTAGGGAAATATGAAAATTTCCATGTCAGCAAAGTGTAATAAGAATAAAGATAAAAAGAAATGTAAATTCCTAGTATCACCATATTAGTAACCAGTTTTAGGGTAAGTATATGATAGTTTGTGGGGTTACTGTAATATGTATATTTTTTTCTTTAAAAATGGCCAAAGCATTTAAGATAAATTATCATGTTAGATATGGTATTTTATAATACTTTAGTAAGAATTTGATTATATAAAATTTGAACCAATGTTTAAAGGCCATGGAAAATTTAATTTAATCCATATTCTAATTTATTGGTATGTAACATTTGTATGGATATTTTGAAAAGAATTGGTTGTTTAATTGTAATGAAATACTATTTACTAAATTCATAATATTAATAAATTGGATATTAAATCAAGTACAATTACTACTAAGTATTCTCTAAGTAGATATTTAAAAATCTATCAGTAACACTGAATACTCATGTAATCTCCCAAATGAGTTAGACCCATTAAAAGTAAACTAAAAAGCTATTAATGTAGTAATTCAAAAATTAATCTAAACCCTAGGGATATAACAATGAACCTAACAGAGCATATTTTCTTCCTTCACAGACCTTACAGATAACTGTATTCTAGTAAAGAAATACCATTTTATATAAATAAAATATTTTTTTAAATAAATCAATCTCCTGTATTTGGTTAGTGTGGAGCAATTCTCCA